CCTTGCTGCCTCGCTAAACAATCCTCTTACCAAAAACGGTCAAGACCTCTCCAATGCCTACCTTTCAACCACTCTCTCTTCTGCCACAACGCCTATATAGCTTAACCGCTGCCTGCCTGTAGCTTTTGAACCTGTTTTCGTCCCTTTGCGCGAAAAAAACCCTACTGTCCCAGGTCTAACCTTATGCCTGTTTCTGCGGTTCATGGCAATTCTAGTTTAAGCGTCTGACTCGTGAGATAACAGCCACCCAACTTGACTGTGACGGCGTAGGAATTTCACCGACCACAAATAGATGAAGAGACCTAGCATACCCAAGTCGAAAATATATTGAACTCGGGGATCATCAGCTGAGATGTAGTGGTAGTTTGCGGCACAGCCATGAACCTTGGCATGGGAACATTTTTCAGGGCATGAGACGTCCGGATTCCGAGCGGGACGTGTTTGAGAGCTGCATGTAGAGGTTTGCAAAAGTGGAAGGAGGCCGCACCAGTCCCTCAGCCAATCATTCCGTCGTACCACGAGGGACCAAGACTTGGTGAACAGACAGATCCGCAGGAGAAGGCCTTTTCAATTCTGTGACGATACAACCGTCAATATCTTCACCATGGCTGCGTATCTCATCACAGGTGCAAGCAGAGGTACGTGCGGTCCTTTTCGATCATATCTAGTAAATCTGGCAGTCTAACGCCCAAAGAAGGCCTAGGCAGGGCCTTGGTCGAGGCTCTTCTCTCCCGGCCCGAGAACACTGTCATAGCTGGCGTTCGAGATTTAAGAAGCGCGAAGAGCCTCTCATTGACCGACCTTCCATGCGCGGACAGTAGCAGACTGATTGTCGTAAAGATCGATTCAGCATCTGACACCGATGCAGCCGATGCAGCGCGCACACTCTCGACCAGATACGGGATTGATAAGATAGATGTAGTGGTGGCGAATGCTGGATCAGGAAATGTGTATGGAGACCTTTCCGCAGTGAATCCTGGGGAGGTGAAGGACTTGATTGATGTAAACGGTGTAGGTGAGTTGTAATGACTGCATCAGCTCGGATGAGGTGTATTTGTATTAACCGTTTCGCTTGCTTCAGGACCACTACGCCTATTCCAAGCTGTCCGGGGCTTTCTTGAGAAAAGTGAAGCAGGGAAATTCGTTCTCATCGGTACACCTATTGCAAGCATCGGGGCCATGGAAAAGGCACCATGGCCTATGTTTGCCTATGGCGCAAGCAAAGTCGTTGCCCATTATCTAACGAGGAAGATTCATTGGGAGAGTCAAACTTTGACTGCGTTTGTTGTTGACCCTGGGTAAGACCTTGACCTGGACGACATCTATGCAACTACTGAGGGAGTGCAGGTTCATGCAGACAGATATGGGCAACGCTGGTGCGAGATATTTCGGTTACGACGAGGCATTTGTTCCGGTTGAGAATTCGTGTCAATTTATTCTTCGACAGATCGAAGAAGCCACACGCGAAACCCTCGGGGGAAGGTTCGTTACGATCGATGAGTCTTAGAAAAGAGGTCGAGTGGTGAGGCATACGGCAAGCGGAGTCATTGAAATTATGCTACCGGCTACAATACAACCAAAGGCTATCATCTTAGCATTGCTTTCGCGCCAAGATTAATACTGCGGGCCAGGACATTGAGGCCTTTCGGTCCCGGCTGCCCATCATCTCTCGTAATTTTTTCAAATGTCCGTCCATAATCTCATCAGGGCCGGCCATCTCTCTCGGCTTTGGGAAAACCGCGATAACAAATCTTCTCACCATCTCAAAATCCCAATTCACGTTCCAGAAAGTGGGATCGTACTTTTCGGTAACGGCCTCAAGCCTGTTCACAGAACTCACCGGTTCAACCTTGAAGTCACAGGCAGCCGGCCCAAAGAAGGCCAGGCGAGCTTTGGTATTGTTCCACTTTTGCCGGCGAACGTCCTTCCATTGACCTTCAGAAAAGGGAATGTAGTCCAACCAGCTTGCCATTCCGTCCGCTGCCCGCTTCCAGCTTGCTCTCTGCTGCCCATTGCCACCGCTAACCACCGGCTTAAAAGCCTGATCCATCGCAGCATAAAGTATGGGTTGAGCTTCTGTTGCAAGCGTTGGCTCGATGAAGAAGGGTGGACCATAGAACCAAATTGCCAATGTTCCACCGGGTCGTAGCAGAGTGAATATGCAGCGTAATGCCTTCTCGGTATCGAGCAAAGGGAAAGTTAAAGCGCAAGTAATCATGTCGAAGGATGCTGGAGCGTGGTATTTGGTGAGTTCCTCTCCTTTCGACATGGTCCAGGAGAGTCGACTGCGCGGAATGTGTTGGAACCTGTGCTGCGCAAATTGTACACTGACGGTATCATTGTCGCTCGCGGTGACGCGACCAAACATGTCGAGCAACGGTCCAAGGGTAGAGCCAGCGCCGGTACCGATATCGAGAGCGTCGCGGAAAGGGGTTTTTCCTGCCGCATGGTAGGCAAAGATGGGATCAAAGATAGTGGGGTCGTACTTGGGGCGCGTGGCGATGTACTCGTCCCAGTACGCTGCATCGATGTTTTGAAGCTTCCAAACACTGTCATTCGTGCGGCTTGCCGGTGGTCCCGAAAGGTAATTGGTGGTTCTCCGGGGGCTCAAGATAGGTACGACTCGCGCGATAGAGCGCAAACCGCGTGCACTCTTCGTTCCGGCAAACAACATGGGGTGAGTAAGCATCCTGATGTGGAGTGTTGGATGTTAAACCGAGGGAGAGGGCTAGGCATACTAAAGAGTTCGGGAATTTTAGCCTATGATCGAAGTAGAACTCTGGCGCCTATAGTTTCGGGGACTGCATCAATGTGTAACGTGCAGAGGCATGGCCACAACAGCACTACGCCGCGCCAAGCATTGCATCCTGCGGCACATAAGTCGAAGCTGCCCCCCCCAACACCCGCTACATCGACAGGCATCCACACATTGCGACCGCAAACCTCCTCAAAGCTCTCAACAAGGCTCTGATATGGAGCCAGCCACAGCAGACTATGTTGTTGTGGGTGGAGGTCTCACAGGCTGCGTCATTGCTTCCAGTCTCGCGCGTAGCGCTTCATCGCCATCGGTTATTTTGCTTGAAGCCGGCCCTGATCCCTCCGGTGAGCCTGGGACGGACACCATTCTGGCTGGCCTTGGGCTCCTGGGTGGGAAACTGGACTATGCGTACCGCAGTGAGCCAGTTACACAGACCGCCGGCCGTGTCCACACTTTACCTGCAGGAAGAGCCCTCGGAGGTGGATCAATTCTGAATTTTGGGGGTTGGCTCCAAGGCGATGCCCACGACTATGATCACTGGGGTGAAGCAGTTGGCGACGAGCGATGGAGCTACCGAGGAATGAAGCCTTGGCTTGACAAGGTAGAACAGCGCTTTGGGGCCGCTTCGATCTCTTCAGACTCACGAAGGAAGTATCCATTGCGCAACACCGTCGAAAATGCCTGGAAGGAGCTGGGCGTTCAGCGCGCAGATGGCGAAATCGGTTCTATGACTGGCCTCGCGGAGTTGAAGGAGAACTCGCGGGATGGGCTTCGCCAGCCTTCGTATGCCGCCTACCCGCTGAAAAGCGTCACCGTTTTCACCGATGTGACAGTCCGCCGAGTGACCTTCATTGGCGAGAAGGCCACTGGTGTAGAGCTGGGGGGCGGTAGGGTCGTGAAAGCGTCGAAGGAGGTCATCATTTGCGCCGGAGCATATCGCACTCCACAAATTCTGATGCTATCTGGGATCGGAGCTCCAGAGATTATCTCCACCCACAGTATTCCACTGGTCCATGCCGCGCCAGGGGTTGGAAAGAACCTCTTCGACCACTTTGCGATATACATGGCATTCCGCCTGAGCGATCCATCTCAGAGTCTCGCACTCGGAAGCTCTGGGTGGACGCATCCGTCGCTGTTCAAAGGGCTGCCATACGACTGGGTCGCCAGCGAACGCGTGCCGGAGGAGTTGCTCGAGAAGCATACGGAACACTCAGAGTTGCGGACACGGAACTTGTTCGAAGTGCTCGTGGTTTACGTTACTCCTGGGATTCCGGGAATTCCTGTTGACGGGACTCATATCGCAACATCCACGATGCTCCTGCTTCCAACTTCGCGAGGAACTGTGTCGCTCAGCTCGTCTTCACCGAATGATCCACCCAAGATTCAACCAAATTATCTCTCCACCGAACTCGATCGCGAGGTACTTATGTACGCTGCTCGTCGCACGCTCACAGTGATGCTTGGAACGGAGTCCATGAAGCAATGCATCGAAAGCGAGACCCCTCCCGTTGGACCGGAGCTGGAAGGCTTGACCCCCCTCACGACTTATGTCGCTGATGAGGTGTTGTGGGAGCGAATTGAACGCTCGGGAATGCAGCATCATCACTCGGGCGGCACAGCGGCCATGGGAACTGTAGTGGACGCAGAGGGTCGCGTGGTCGGCGTGGAGGGGTTGCGGATCGCCGACGCAAGTGTGTTGCCAGTTCCGCTTGGTGGGCATCCTCAAGTGACATTGTACGCTATGGCTGAGCAGATCGCTAGCTGTATTATAGGTTAAGGTGCTATGTATTTAGGACGGCGGATATCGTGTGATATCCAGAGTGGCCCAAACTTTACAGGGGGGCGATACCCAGTGTCGATTTACGTCTGCACGCAGAACAGAGTGTCGATATCCATCGTGCGCAGGGCAGAAAGCCGATATCCAGTGTCGATATCTACCTACGCGCAGAGTAGAGGGTTAATATCTAGGCCACACATAAATTGACACTGTTAAAAACAACGATAACGACATTGTGTGTCCTAATCTTGCCTAATGTGTAATCGTTGTTATCATGAGGAGCCACATATTCCAGCCCTTTGTGCCTTTCGTCGAGGAAAGCTTGCGCGGCAACAGACTCTGTAGGTATGGCGCAGATCTAGCCAACAGTGTAATTGTTAGCATTTAACATTCTCGCAGAGTAATATAAACCTAGGTTAGGAAGTGAGATATTCTTGCCTTTAGGCTCTGTTGTAATCTTCTGTTGTTTTCGCGGAAGAGTGTCTGCGAAGCCTAATATCCTTGATTGCTTAAATGCAGATCGTGCAAGAGTTACAGCTAGCAGTAAACTTGCTGTAAGAAATTATTTTAAGATAGCATTATATTCTGTTAGCGCTAAGATGACTTTAAGGATTATTTAAGTTATGCCTCTGCCTAAGTTATATTTTATATTAAATTAACTTAACTTAACAATAATATTCTCTAACGTTATTGTATTACTCTCTGCTGCGCTACCTGTTGGCAGTCCTATTATACAAACTAGTGGAGCATGTTTTGTAGGTATTCAAGTCTACTCTTATGTTATTCTAACTTTTATAGACATTGCCTCTTGATCTAGAGCCGCTCTGTTAGATCTTAAATATTTTACCATCACAAATAACATTAAAACTAGCCGAGTGGCAACGCAAGTGTCGGGAACACCTTTCACAGCATATTAGTAAGCGCGTACACGTTCCTCCTTATGTAATCCTAACAAATATTAGAGGAGACGCTAAACCTCGATGTGTCCCCTGCTAATGTCCGGCTAGTTCCCGCCGCCAAGGACCTATACGATTGGAAATATTCGCAATACAAAAACTATCTCTTTAATTAGAAAATAAGCAAACTTTTGCTTAGCCGCTGCTAAGAACTGTACAACAGTATAGGTTCTAGCGTTTGTACAGTATTTAAATCTAACAGGGAAAATGTGCATCTTAAGGTGGAAAAGAGTATATTAATAGTAGACGTGAAACAACTTCAAGAAGAGACTATTAACCTAAAAAAGAAGATAGCCCAGCTGCAAGAGAAGTTGATGGAAACAAGACAAAACGCTAAAATCTAAGAGGCTGTAGGAAATTTCTACTTTCGCAAGGCATTAAATAGCAAAGGCATGATGGAAGAGTTGATTAAAATTTGTTCAGCTACCTATAAAGAGATCGCGCTGCAGTATCCCCTCCTATAGAGGATCTCTCTACACTAGGGCTAGTTTGTCTAGATCTAGCAGTTTTTATGCAGGTTTATTCTTATCCTTTATATAATAATACAGCATAACTTACGTGTAGTAAAGTCTTACTAGACTATTTTTTATCTTAATAATAACATCTAGGGCCTTAATTCTTTTTACTATATGTAGTTTTATCTATTCTTTCTTCTTTTACTATGTCTTTACTTTAGAACTAAGTAAAAAATTTAAGACTTTATATAATATTAAGCTATTCTAAGTAATAATTATATAATTAACGTTAACTTTAACTTTTTTACTTTAAAGCATTTTTATTACCTTTTATACAGCGTTAGCTTACGTAGTAATGTTAGAAAATAGTATAGAATCTATGTTAATTTTTAAGTACATTCTAAACATAAGTAATGTAGGTATAAGACTATTTAGTTTTACTATATTAATTAAACCTTTAATAGCTATTTATAACACTAATTTATTATTTATATACGTATTTAATTTTGTATAGAGGATATTGTATGCATATTACAGTAGTGCGTGCGCGCGCTTAATCTTCTCTATAGCCTAATAAGCTTTTACTAGCATTTATTAACACATTGCTTCTAACGTACTTTACAGGCGAGTTGCTTACACACCTAAATTGCTTACTTTTGCTAAGACTCTACTAAACTACCTTTCCTACATTAATGCATTCCTAATAACACTACTTAGACGCGCTAAAAGAACATTAGATACAGCTTGCGCTCTAAGCCTTTAAATAAGACATAAAACTTTTAAAAAAATATGCTGTAGCTATATATAAAGCTTTTTAAAAGACAATAAATAACTACAGCACTAGACAACCTTTATAAGCTAATTTTATAGCTAACTTATAAAGGCTAGGCAATAAGAAGAAGCAGGTAATTGTTAAGACTATACTTAAGCTATATAGGCAAGGATTTTTCTTTTAGATAGCATTTATAGCTAATATAGCTAATTCTTTGCGCGCTAAGCATAATCTAGGCTATATTAGCATAAACTAGCCTAGTGCGTTTAGAAAGTGTTATCTAGACCTTAAAGTAATGTTTAAGTGTAGTATAACTATAAGAAAGCTTTTTGTAAAGGTTCTAGAGTAATTTAGAGCAGGTTTAGCCTTGTAAAGAATATTAAAGCTAAGTATAGCATCTAGAATAATAACATGTACAACTTTAGTAAGATAGGCTTTATTATAGGCTAAATATCTATTAACTATACTTACGCTTAAAACTCTACTTTAAGCTTTAAATAACGCTTTATAAATGTACTAGGCTAGTTTATACTAATATAGCCTAGATTACGCTTAGCGCGTAAAGAATTAGCTATATTAGCTATAAATGCTATCTAAGAGGAAAATTCTTGCGCATATAGCTTAAGTATAGTCTTAATAATTACCTGCTTCTTATTATTACCTAGCCTTTATAAGTTAGCTATAGAATTAGCTTGTAAAGGTTATCTAGTGCTATAGTTATTTATTATTTTTTTAAAAGACTTTATATATAGCTACAGCATGTTTCTTTAAAAGTTTTATGTCTTATTTAAAAGCTTAGAGTGTAAGCTATATCTAACGTTCTTTTAGCGCGTCTAAGTAGTGTTGTTAGAAATGCATTAGTGTAGAAAGAGTAGTTTAGTAGGGTCTTAGCAAAAGTAAGCAACTTAGGTGTGTAAGCAACTTGCTTGTAAAGTACGTTATAATCTTTACATAATTCTAAAAATTTTTAAATATAAAGTTTATACTAGAGTTATGTATAATGTAATTAAGTAAGCTTTAATATATGTTAATCTAACACTTATAAAGCATGTTCTAGGTATCTTATATAGACATTAATTTTAAAAAGGTTGCTGCTTAGAATAATATATCTATGTTAATTACATGTAGTATGTTTTAGTTACTAATTTATATAATATTAATTACTATTTTATAATTAAAGTATAAATTATTTTTAATTATAAACTTAAATTTTTATAGTGCTAGGTTATGTAGCTAACATATATAGCAGAACTTCTTAATTTTTTTAAGTATAAAAGGATTAGTGTTGTGTCTAGTGTTTTTAAGCATTATGTAAAGCTATTCTATACAAGAATTACTAAACCTTCTGTGTAGTTATTAGAGTTTATGTTTTATAAAGAAAAACATTAATTTCTTCTTTTATATATGTATAACTAAGACCTTAATTTTATTACTTTATATAGTTACATTTTACATATTATTAAAGTATAGATTTATCTAGTCTGCGTTAGCAAAAGATAATAAGAAAGGTGTTAGTGTATCTAGTATGTAATATATAACACTACTAACTAGATTAATAATTTATATAGTACTAATTAATTTTATTAATTCTTATTTTTTAAAGCTAATACTCTTTTTATTTAGTGTCTAGTTTACTTTTATATAAAAGAATTCTTATAAGTATACTTTAAGTTATAACTTTTTAATAGTAGAAATTTTTACAGCGCTAGTATTCTATAGTTTACCTTAGTATACTATATAATATTAATCCTTAAGAATAAACTATTCTGCGTATCTTTTAAGTTCTAGGCTGTATATGTCCTCTGCTGTTGCATAGTAGAGAAATGTAGTAGTAGTAAGGTAGTTAATAATTTTCTTACTTTTTTTTTTATTTAAGTTATTATTATAACGTACTTCATAGGCGAGTTGCTTACACACCTAAGTTGCTTACTTTTGCTAAGACTCTACTACACTACCCTTTCTACACTAATGCATTTCTAATAACACTACTTAAACATGTTAAAAGAACATTAGATGCAGCTTACACTTTAGGCTTTTAAATAAAATATAACACTTTTTAACTAACATGCTGCAGCTATCTATAGAGTCTTTTAAAAGATAATAAGTAACTAACGCACTAGACAACTTTTCTAAGCTAATTATATAGCTAACTTATAAAAGCTAGATAATAATAAGAAGCAGGTAATTATTTAGCACATACTTAAGCTAGATGTGTAAGGATTTCCCCCCTAGCTAGCAGCTATAGCTAATATAGCTAATTCTTTACACGCTAAGCGTAATATAGGCTATGTTAGCATAAACTAGCCTAATATATTTATTAAGCATTACTTAAAGCTTAAAGTAAAGTTTAAGCGTAAGTACAACTATAAAAGAGCTTTTTATAAAGATTCTGCAGTAATTTAAAGCTAGTTTAACTTTATAAAGAATATTAAAGCTAAGTATAGCATCTAGGATAATAACATGTACAACTTTAATAAAACAGGGTTTATAATAGGCTAGATATCTACTAAAGCAGTTATTACAAGTTTAGAGAGACAAGGACAGCTAAAAGCAGTCTAGCTAGGCAACTAGAAGTAGACAACAGCTATCTAGAGCATTAATGCTAAAGAGTAGGCTATTTTGCCTTTTATTATTTTCTAGAGTAGCAACTACTTTTTAAACTAGTATAAAAAAAAATTTACTTTAGAATTAAGTTATTATAATCTCTAAGCGCAGCTAGACTACTAATTAGCTTAGTCTAGACTAGTTAAAGCACTTTAACGCGCATATAAAGAAGTGTACTGTTAGCAGCTACTGTCTACTAGTTATTAATAGCTATAAAAGCTACAACTTACTTTATTTTTAGTAATACTATAAAGATAATAAGATTATTACTATTTACATACCTTTTTACTTATTACACCTTTTATAGCTACTTAATGTAGGTTGTTTTACTTTTTTAAAAAAGGCGTATAAGCGCTAAGCTAAAATTCTTATACATAACTAAATTACTTATATTATAAAAATAAAGTTTCTGCTATGCTTTAAAGCAGCTTATAATGCTATAATTACTTCTAGTAATATCTAAGAAGAGTTTTAAAGCGCTAGATTAGTTCCTTTTAACCTATAATAAGTTATAATAAGCCTTAATGTAAAGTTACACACTTTATTACTACTACTACTTATATATAATAAG